AAAAGAACGTCAGACTTCCAGTATATGGCTGTGATCAGCATTGTAAATAGTATGTTTCTGATTGATCAAACTTCAATTATAGAAAAACAATTTTTTTTCAAAATTCCTGTGGTCCCCCTCAGGGATGTAAGGGGTCAAAAAAAAATTTTCTTTTATGGACCAATATATTATGCCATTTGATGTAGGAGAGAGTCACAATGTTTATCCAGCGGAAATTTTCAACAACTTCCGTTGTTGAAAAATACTGAAGGCCTTTTTCCTTGAAGGCGTGTACCTTAAAATTGACAGTAAATCGCACTTTTCGTAACGATTCGAAATTTTTTTTTCGTCAATTTTTTTAGCATTTTGTAGAGCATCAAAAGTTACATAACTTAAGATAAAGTTCATTCTGGAGACTCATTATTTCGATTAATGGCAACAGATATACTTAGAAAGATAGAACTTCAAAAATAGGTAACCTTTTACGATTTCTGCCTGTTTTAGCTCACCAAATAAATTTCATTCAATATTCGAAATAGCTCATTTTTTTCATCTATACTTGCTCTATCGTTTGGTATCGTATATGAAAATATTCTCTCACTTTTGATGATAGAATCTTAGTAAACATGTATAAGAAAGTTCATCACTTTTTTTGTTCATGACGACGTGAGGGTGCGGAAAGTTGGTCCGGGCTAACTTCACTATAACAAACCAGATTGAGCTAAAAATTTAGGTTTAGTAGTTTCAGACATTGTTCTTTCGAATGCACACAAAAAACCAAAAATTTAAATTTTGACGGGTGCTTCGAATCTTCAATGGTGTCATGGAGGCTCTCTTAATTGTTTCACTTGATTAACTAAGTAGACCAAACCTAAAATTTTTATTTTTGAATTAAATTTGTTAGAATATGTAATGTTCATCATTCGTAACATAATGGAAGATGCAAAAGTTTTTGAACAAAAGTCGATTCATTTTTTATGTGATAAAGCATGTGTAGATAAAATCGATAATACTTCAGCAGAATTTATGTTGAAAGTTTTTTGTGATTATATGTTTAGAAAATTTCTATCATATTTTGTCTTTACATATTGCTAAAATATGATCTGCAGACGACGCTCAACACAATGGTGATTAAGAGAACACATCTCTTGGTATTTTTCTTATTTTGTCCAATGTGGTAGATTGTGTGTTGCTGGTCTCTTTTTCCAATCAGTTTAAAGTCAATGAAAATAATGACTGTGAATGGTCTGAAGTACTCTCTATAAATATGTTTCGGCTACGGTCTGGAAAATGATAAAATTGAACAATGAGCAAAATGCAGACAGTTATCCGATAGAGAAAAGATAAACGCCATCGTATGGAATGACACTTTAAAAAATTGCGAGATACTATAAGATCGGTAACTTCTGCAATATTTATTTATTTTTACAGACCACGTTTTAGTGCTGTGTACAGACGTATTACTTACTCAAAAACAAAACATAATAGCCATTTTCTGATCATACAATTACAGAATATTTTCGAGTTTGTCTGCACATGTTTTAGTCGAGAAAAAAAAATGGACAGGCATTCATATTGAAACTTTTACATCACTTGCTACTCGTCGATTAGATTAGATACCAATTTTAGTTGTAAGATTTTATTGATATTTCAAAAAGGCGTAGGAAAAAAATGACACGCTTAGTTCTAACTACAAGAAAAGTAATATTATGAAAAATTAGAGTAATATACTGTAATGTCTTTATCAAATTAATATTAGTTCATGGATTAGCAAGACTAGTTACGTCCGATTGTGATAGTTCTCGATTGTAAATATAAAGTTCATCAATGTAACCTTGATAATATCCCTTTGCAGCACTAGAATAACAAGAATACCCGTAGCCTATGTAAAGATTTGCAAAAGTGCTGCTCGATGAATATGATATACTGTCAGTTGAACCGAAAAGAACTCCATTGACATACAATGTGTATCCATTTGCTGAACTATATGTCAATGCAATGTGTGCCCATGTATTTTGTGTCACAAATGGACCAGTTAACCATGATTGACCCGAACTAGAACTATGTACAATTATCTGCCCCGTTAATCCATTCGATGACGAAATACCAAGCAAAGTTTCACAATTCAGTGAACTAACAGCTGACGAAAGCATCTGAATAATTGCGATATTATTGACTGATGATGGATTTATCCATATAGCTATTGAAAATGGTTTGGCATTAACAACACCATAAGGCAGCTGATAAAAACCATAAGCTCGAAAATAAGATGCTGACGATCCAAGAAAACGCATTGCTTGATTGACACGTCCAGTAATTGTCGCTGTATTAATCGATGTCCCATTTAATCCATATGGACCATTGTCAATAGTTGGATTTGGTGAATCAAATGAATAATAAGCCATTAAAGATGCATCACTTAAAATTTCTACTGAAGATTTTGCTCTTGTTGTTAATGCGACATTATCAATATAACCTTGAAAATAGTTTGTGGTCGAATTAGTTTGTGTTGAACCAATGTAGATACTTCCATTATGTCCTTGATAAGGTTCTGTATTTGATTTGATAGTATCTTGAATTCCATTGATATATAATATTTGTTGTCGTGTATCATAATTATAAACAAATGCAATATGATACCAAGTAGAAGTTGAAAAAGTCGTAGAACCGGACAAATAATTGGAATTGAAGTCAACATACAAGCGGCTATTTCGTATCATTAAATATAAACATTGATTAGCACATGTTGAACATTGACATTGACCAAATATTCCACGAACGACGATAGATGTAAGTGGTATTGGATAAATCCAAGCTTCAATAGTAAAACTTGTATAACTCATATCAAAAAATGGAGCTGAAACTACAAATGATTGATTTAGTGTTGAATTAAAGGTAAGTGCTTGACCACGTCCAACATATGGCAGATTATTTGAAGTCGGTGGTGTATATGTTGGATTATTTATTAGTTGACCATTATAAACACCATATGAATCGGCTGTTGTATTATCGAAAGTCCAATATGCAGAAACATTCACAGTAGATGCAGTAGTTGTCGTCGTACTTGTTGTTTCTATTTAAAAACATATCAAATAAATAGAGCAGTTATTGAAAAAGCTAACCATTACTACTGTAGAAGTTTACTCTTTGTTTTATTTATTTAAGGCTATGTTTTGAATACAAAAGATTATAAAAGACCTTTTATCTCATGAATATATTTATAGAAAACTAAGATAGAGTTCGAATAAAAGGTTCTATATTATATAAAATAACTTTACCTTTTGATTTTGTAAGCAAAATACCGAGAACAATTGCAGTGGTAATAAAAGCAGCGATTAGCAAACATAATGCAATACCTACTAAAAGTCTGTTTCTTGTTGACCATCTATCAGATAAATAAAAAGACTTAGTAGATAGAAGAAGACAAAAAAACAAAAACAAATATTACTTTGATTTAGTAGGTATTTGATAAAGATCCTTTGTTATTGTATAATTTTGTAAGTGAGGAGATAACGCAGATGAGCGTGAATCGGAAATCTAGCAAAGACAAATAATTAATTGATTAACTTTTGTGTAACATAACTGTAAATAGGATAAGTATTTAACTTATTTTTAAATAACGTTGATGGTCTTTACTTACTTCTTTAATATAATATAGACGAATATTTTTAGGTGTTTGAAGTTCAGAAGTAAGGTGCTTTTGATTAACTTGTAGTTGTGAAATACCACTTTTACTAATTCGTCTTTCAAAAAACTAAAATGACATTAATAAAGAATGAATCTTTTATGACCGTGTAAAACTTTTGTCAAATATCATATTTTCACAACTGATTTTTCTTAAAATTTGCTGCACAAATTATGGAGTATGAATAACTTCAATATTTGATGTTGCGATGCTTATAGAAATCAACAAAAAATCATCATTCTTTTCTTAGGAAATTTCAAATAGAATCACTCAGAATTATATTGAATCTGTGCAATCAAGTTAAAAGTTTCACCGTAAAAGAAGTTTGGGCTTAATGCATCATGATAGATATTTTATCAACAATTAAGATAAACAGTTTAATTGAAAACTTTCCATTGATTATCATATATTGATATAGTTTTTGGTAATGTTTAAGATGGACTTAAATGAAAGTTTATGAGTGATGAAGATATACAAGAAGTCTAAATAGAAATTCGAAAAATATTTTTTTAAATTCTTCTCTTCTTTCCATTGAGTATTACTGTTTCAAAAACTAACAAACCTTGTTTCTAATTGATTGATGATTTGAAGATTGTTCAATGTTAAACATGAATTTATGATTTATTGAGTTCGAACTCATAGATTTCCGTCGAAATAAACCTACTTTAATCGAATGTAAGATTTTTTTTTCTTTGATTCACTTCTTATGTGAACTGTTTTTTTTTTATTTCTCTTATTCATTATTTTGTCAGTTTAACCCGATATAAAAGAAGCCAGATGAAACTCTTCGACTAAAGATGTACAAACAATGCATTTCTGCCCACATTTTTGTAATTACATTATGATTTTCAAGCATAGACTAATGTGGTTTTCATTTTACTTTGTTTTATTATTTAATGATGTGGGAAGCACTGAATTTGTGGAGTCTGTCCCGAGGTTACTCTGTTTTTAAGGAGCGAAGCACTTTATAGCAACCACTCGATTTATTTGTCACCTTTTCTCCTCGACAAACGCATTCAAAATCTGTACTTTGTACTGGGATAATTTCGAGAATAGAAATTCTCAAAAAGTTGTTTTTGCTGCGAGTTGAAAATATCGAGATCGAATTGATGCCAATTTTTTTCTCAAAGTTCTTCCAAAAGGTTCCGTTTCATTATACAGTTGGGACCAATTGAAATTCCCCCTATCGTTTGTTTTGTTTTTGTTACTATACTTATTTTATTTTTTAATCTACTATATACAGCGAGAAAGCCTGAAACGCGCTGCATCTTTTGGTATATTTATGCTGAACACCAAATGTATTTTTAAGTGTAAAACGTGTATTAGACAAAAAAGTGACATTTTTTTACTACAATGTGTCCATAATTTTGTAACATTTTTTTATTTCGTATATATCTCGGGTTAGGTAAATGATAAAACCTTGAATTCCTTTTCCAAAAGATGCGTCGTGAAAAGCTCTATAAAAGTTGTATGATGGAATGCCTTTTTACCTTTTCTAATGGTTTTTCTTATACTTGAAATGAACAGCTTATATGACAGGGACACTTGCCGCCATACTGAAAATGTTGAAAGATTCTTTTGTTCTTCATTTATCTCGACTGGAGAAAGCGATATAGTATTGATTTTTTCTTTAAAAGATGTGACGTCGAAAGCTCTACAGAAGTTATATCGACCAAATCCTATAGCGAATGAAAAAAGTCCTTGAAGCTTTTTTAGTATGATGCGAAGTGACACTTTCATGTAAGTTGTTAATTTTGAGTATTAGAAAACCAATAGAACAGGAACTCAATCATACAGTTTTATACAGCTTTTCAAGACGCGTCTTTTGGATAAGAACCCAAGGTTTCGTCATTTGCCTAACCCGAGATATATGCGAAATAAAAAATGTTACAAAATTATGGACACATTGTAGTAAAAAAATGTCACTTTTTTGTTTAATACACGTTTTACACTTAGAAATACATTTGGTGTTCAGCATAAATATATCAAAAAATGCAGCGCGTTTCGGGGTTTCTCGCTGTATATAGTAGATCAAAAAAATAAAATAAGTATAGTAACAAAAACAAAACAAACGATAGGGGGAATTTCAATTGGTCCCAACTGTAATTAACAGCGGATGACAAATAATGAATTATCGAACTAATTCAATGGTCAATAGTTAACATACTTTGATGGTGTTCTCGGAGTGATGAATTTCACCATGTCTACCTTTCAGCTACTTTTCTCCTGTTATTATCGGATAGATTGAAACGTGGTTTATAGAATTTGAAGGAACAGAAGGGGAAACGCTGATTCCAGTAAAACCGATCATTCGTCTTTTAAGAGATAACCGTTTTTCCTGATCCTGCTACACAATATTCATAGTTCGCCTCCCATTTCATAATCTTGTGAAACTCGAATACTATCTAGTTTTAATTCTGCCTCTCAATATATATATATATAAGTAATGTTGTTAGCCACTGTTTCAAAATTATATTTATGCCGACTATGACGATAGTATTGTCCTTTTTTCGCCGATTATTTAGTTTATTTTAGGAAGCTTTACTTCATTTTGAAGAAATTATAGGACTATGTACATTTTTTTTCTGTTTTTTCCTTTCATCTTATTTTATACTTTTAATGAAATTGGCATAATCGTTTTAATTGACCTGTATAACATATTACATATGAGTCCCGCCAGATTATTGTTTAACAAAAATACAACAAATGGATTTTTTCACTTGCAAGTTCTAATTTTTGCCTTGATCGCATGAATACAATCAATTTAGTACTGTAAATAGGCACGTCTAACTAGGAATTTTAATGATATAATTAACTGAAATCTTGTACATTTCAATTAAATGACAAAGAAAGTATCTGTCTCTACATGTTATTGAAATCTAATGTTTTTTATAGTAAAGAAATAAATCATAATGATTATTATTATGCTGTTTTGATTCAATTTTTTTTATTTCAAAATGACTTGTTATCGTAATTATAGATTTATCAACAATATTCAACTAGGATAATTTACCATTTTTCATGTCTCTTCGATATTTATAACTCGAAAACTATCAAGGTTGAACAATATGTGCCGTATTGTTGCCTTACAATATGGGGAAATACGCTCGTTTATATATAAGAAAATGGAATTGTAGGCCACATATTGTCACGGTATAAGTGCAGAATTATGTAGTCATATATAAGAATTCGTGCATCGAAAATATTGGAAAAATAATCGACTAGGAAAAAAAAGTATAGACAAAATCTCGATTTTCAACTATGCAAACATATACTGAACATCTATGAAACAGTTCTTGGCAATCTCTAACGTTTCCCACATTTATGCTTCATTCTTTTCAATCCATCGACACTTCATTGTTTAAGTATATTTCATATTTTATAAAAGCAGAATAAAACTGTCTTATTGTAGTCCAATTTTGTAAAGATCGTAGTTCTTAGAGAAATATTTGATTTATCTAAAAAGGATGAGTGAAGAAATGTGAGGTTCGGAGTTAAGCAAGTAGTAGTTGATTGGTAAATTACGCTTGTTTTCTCGGCATATATAGAAATGTGACAAACTCATCTTTAACAACTCTAACAGGTACAAAGAAGTATTAGATAAAGCTTTTTGTCTGGAGAGATTTATACAAAAACCAGCAAGAAAAGGAAAATGAGTGTTTTATTCAGGCATTCCCATTATTTGATTAGTAACGATCCAGCAGACCGGACTATTTCAGAAAATCTTGAACGGTTACAACTCTGATGTCGAGATGTACACCCACAAATAATTAAATATGATTCATTATTCCTCAATAAACTATTAAAGCTTCTTTGAATTTGCAACTATCACTGTTTGACATTTTCTTACATATCACACTCCTCGATCTTGATACCCTTCTACAGCATCTTTTTAATATCGATTCGTCTGGAAAGCTAAATTTACTGTGTGCATAAGTTTTTTTCTTGCTATTTTTATTCGTGATCTTATTTTCCTTTGATTGACTATGTAGGCTAAACTTAAAAAAGTTTCACATGAAAATCATTTGTTCAATATGATGCCATACTCATCGATTAAACAGAATACCGTCTTTTAGCTATAAGATTTTATTGATATTTGAAAAAATACAGGAAATGCATGACACACTTATTTCTAACTACAAGGAAACCACTATAATGGAGGATTATATCCTCAACAAATTAATAATAGTTCATGGGTTAGCAAGACCAGTTACGTCCGATTGTGATAGTTCTCGATTGTAAATATAAAGTTCATCAATGTAACCTTGATAAGCACTGTTTATATAACTATTAAAACAATTATAGCCAAAGCCTATGTATAGATTTGCCAATGTACCAGTTCCAGCACATGATATACTGCCAGATGAACCAAAAAGAACTCCATTAACATATAATGTATATCCATTTGTATAACTATAAGTCAATGTAATGTGTGTCCATGTATTTATTGCTATAAAAGGACCTGTTAGCAATGATGGACTAGAAATAGAACTGATAACAAAGATCTGTCCTGTTGTTCCACTATTATATGAATAAATACCAAGTAATGTTTCACAAGAAGATGAGGTATAGCTTGAAGGAAGCATTTGAATAATTGCAGAACTACCAGTTGATGATGGATTTAACCACATGGCTATTGAAAATGTTTTGTTACTAATAACACCATAACGAATCTGAAAAAGACCGTAAGCTCGAAAATAAGATGATGATGATGGTCCAAGAAGACGTATTGCCTCATTGACACGTCCAGTAGCTGTCACTATATTACTTGACGTTCCATCTAATCCATTCGGACCATTGTCAGTATTTGGATTAGGTAAATCAAATGAATAATAAGCCATTAAAGATGCATCACGTAAAATTTCAACTGAAGATTTTGCTCTTGTTGTTAATGCGACATTATCAATATAACCTTGAAAAAAATTCATTGTCGAATAAACTTGAGTTGAACCAATTAGAATACTTCCATTTTGTCCTTGATATGGTTGTACATTTGATTTGATAGCATCTTGAATTCCATTGACATATAATATTTGTTGTCGTGTTTGATAATTGTAAACAAATGCAATATGATACCAATTAGACGTTACAAAAGTCGTAGATCCAGACAAATAATTTGATGTGAAATCAATGTACAAGCGATAATTTCGAATAATTAAATATAAACATTGATTTGCACATGTTGAGCATTGACATTGACCAAATATTCCACGATCAGCACCACTAGATCCTGAAAAATATATCCAAGCTTGAATGGTAAAACTTGTATAACTTAAATTGAAAAATCGACTCGATACCAGAACTGATTGATTCGATGCTAAATTTAACATAAGTGCTTGACCATGTCCTACATATGGCAGATTAAGTGAACCTGAAGTAGTAAATAATGGATTATTTATTAGTTGACCGTCATAAACACCATATAAATCGTTTGCTGTATTATCGAAAGCCCAATATGCAGAAACAGTTACTGAAGATACAATAGTCGTTGTTGTTGTTGTACTTGTTGATTCTATAAAATAATAAGTAATAGATCAATGAATTAGTGAATAAACTAGCCGTTAAAAGGAGTTTATTATTTTTCTATTTATTTATATAATAACCTTGAAATACTAAAAATTATACAAGAGTTTTTATCTCATAAATAATTACAGACAATTACGATAGAGTTTAACGTATCGAAGAAGTTTAATATTATTTAAAGTAAGTTTACCTTTTGAATTCGTGAGTAAAACACCGAGAACAACCGGAATGGTAATAATAGCAGTGATTAGGAAAAATGCTGAAATACCCAGTAAAACTTTCTTTCTTGTTGACCATCTGTCAAATAAATAAATAAGATTAATACATAGAATATGACAAAATTATGTTACTTTGATATAGTTGGTATTTGATGAAGATTGTTTTTTGCTGTTGTTTGTTCTTGAACCGTTGTTATATATTTTTGTAGATGAGGAGATAATGGAGGTGATGGTGAACTGGAAATCTAACAGAGACAAGTAATTAGTTGATTAGTTTTTTTTTGAAAATAAGGTGCCTGTAGATGTGACATGTGTTTAACTTACTTTTGAATGATGTTGATTGTTACTACTTGTTTCCTTAATATTATGTAGACGAACATTTTTCGGCGTTTCAACTGTAGAAATACGCATTTTTTGAAAAATTTTGGGTTGAGAACTAGCAGCTTTATTATTTCGTGTTTCAGAGGGCTAAAACGACATTAATAAAGAATGAAGATTTACAAGAAGATACTGACTTTTAATTAGATGTGAACAAGATGAGTCCCGTAGGGGCCGAGATCAAATTTTTTTTTCGACTGCGACTACTACAAATACTTCTTATTGGAAATGATATCTTTTATGATCGTGTAAAACTAGTGTCAAATGTCATATTCTCACGACTGATGTGTTCTAAAAGTCTATGAAGGAATTACTTAGTAAGTATCACTTCAATATTTGCTGTTGCAATACTACTGGTTAAATTAATTCTTTTGTTTTGTGAACAACAAAGTTGTCGAAAACATAAACGTGCAGAATAAAGGAAATATTAATTGAATTAAAATCAGTAATGAATCTGTGAAATAGAGGATATTAGAGATCAGGCAGGTCGTGCAAGATCTCTCGAGTTCATTAACATTGCTAGAAAAGGATATCGCAATTTTGGTTAGTACACGTATTACTAAGTGCGAAGCCAGGATGAAACATTTTTTTCATCGGAACCGGGACCAAAACCGTTTTGTTCTGGTTATCACTACTTTTAATATAACCAAGCTATGGTCAGTTTCTTTTTTTCCATTCTAACAGAAACAGACAGGATTGGAAGCAAAATATATTAATAACACAATATTTTATATTGCGGCAGTCGTCCTTTTCTCACAAGGGAAGGTTCCCAAGTGATTCACGCCGTTTTCAATGATATTTTATTTATATGTTGGAGCCGTGATTCTAAAAAAAATCCTGTGAAAGTTTTCAGGAGGCTTTATTTTAACTTCAAGAAGATACGGCGGCTCATTAAAAACGACAGTATGATATTCCTTAACGTACACATCCACATCGAAAAAATAACTTTAATCAAGCTTTTTTGATGTGTTTATCAATGTGGTATTTTTTATGAATTGATGCAAATTGAGTTTAATTTCTGATGAATGACAGGTTATGTTCTATTCTTTAAATACATATATTCAATACTTATCCATCATCAAATACGATCAATATACATAAATAAAAATAAAACCGAGATCAAAACTCATGTAACATTGTTTATGCATACTATGAATATTGACACAATAAGAATATGATTTATTCTGTATTGAAAAATAGTAGCGTAATAAAAGATTTTTATGAATAATCTCTGTAAATTCATCTTATCAATAGATTCGGTCTGTTATATACTTTGAAAAAATGGCGAACCTGGTTTTTAATGGGTTGATCGTTTGAATATGGTTCAATATCGGACGTTAATTTATAATTATTTGAATTGGAACGTGTAGATTTTCTCCGAACCAAACTAACTTTAACTGAACGTAAGACTTTTGACATTGATTCACTTCTGATGTGATGATCACAATTTGACTTGAAACTAGGTTTTTTTTCTTTTTTTAATATAAAACAAATTGTTTTTTCTTTTGATTTCTCTTATTCATTCTCTTCTTAATTCAATTCAATATAAACAAAAGCTAGATGAAACTCTTCGACTAGGGATACACATACAATCAATTTCTCTCTTTATTTTTCTGATTACTTGACGAGTTCCGAACATAAATTCATGTATTTTTCGTTTTGTTCTGCTTTATTTGTTTAATTATGTCTTGTAGTTTGTGTAGTCAACGAACATTTTTTGTCACTGGTGGATAAATATATATCTATGCCAACTTGACGACAATATTGTCCTTTTTTCCGGATTATTTATTTCATTTTAACGACTTTGAAATTACGTTAGAACAATAAAAATATTGTGTACATAATTTTTGATTTTTGTTTTGTGTTATCCTAAGCCATACTTTTAATTAAATTCAAACAATCATTCTAATTAGATTATGTGCACGGTATTACGTATGAGCCCTGAATCACTATTGTTTAAAAATAATGCTTTGAATGGTTTTTTTTATTATCAACTTGTCATTTTTGGCTTCATTCAATGAATACGATCAATTTCGTACTGCATAAGGACACAATTTGACATTTTGATTTTGATGCTAGATCGGAAGAAAAAAATTGCATTCAAAGAAATTTATTGAAAGATAATTAAAACATTGTTTTTTTCTTAATAAAATATGCGATGAAATATCTCAATATTAAGGTAAAATAAAAAATAATCTTTAAAGACTAATTAAAGAATACGCTCTACAATCTTTTCTTCTCATGAAAAATCCAAAAATGATTAATTTTTTTGTTTTATACATATTTGAAAATCAAATTAAGATCCTTGAATTATTTGAATGCAATTGTTATAGATTAATTTATTCTTGAATTGGATATTTTGAAATCAATTTTTATTCCTCAATTACAGTGCGGGTCAAAAGTCTGACCCTACTTTTCCCTTTTGAGTCGTATATTAAAACTACATAACATTAATTTAATTCAATTATATGTTTGGATAGCAGAAATCAAGTACGTGTACTATATATATACCTGTTCAATTCGAAAAACTCTTGAATATGAAATTCAATAAGAAAAATAAACCTCAGTACAAAGAAAAAAATCACATGAAAAACAACAAAATGATAATAAAAATGTTTGGAAAACTTTTTGTTGTGCAGTAGGAATTTGTTTACACGGCTTTTACAGAGCTTTCGACGGCGCATCTTTCGAAAAAAAATCAAGATGCTGTCATTTTCTTAAACCGAGATACACGCAAAATATCGAAGTCTTTCAAACATTTTTATTATGTTAAATATGGTGGACAGTGGCCCTATCATGCATTTCCTTTTCATTTTGAGTATGAAAGAAACCAGCAGTGTTCAGATTCCCAGGAGTCGGGAACTCATTGGGAATTGGGAACTCAGAGTGTATGTGTGTGTGGGTAGGGGTCCTCAACTCCTATTTTTTCGAAAATTCTTTTTAATGCAGATACAGGATTTTTGAGAAAAAATTAATTTTTTCGAAAACACCTGAAATTTTTTTCAAGAAACTTTTTTTCTTCTCAAAAAGTCTGTTTCTGCATTAAAAAAAAATTCGAAAAAATAGGACTTGAGGACCCCTACCCACACACATACACTTTGAGTTCTGAATTCCCATTGAGTTCCCGACTCCTGGGAATTTGGCCAGGTCTCATAATTTTAATAAGAAAAGATTGTTTATTATAGTTTTGCAGTTATTTTTCGTCAAATAATAGAGGAGTATTTCAACTAAGATAAATACTTTATGAAAAAAATTTTTCAGTAAATGTCCTATGAAGATTGTATGCACAACAACGCCGAGCAAACATAAATCATTAATTATTTCACTTGATTATCTATGTAGATCACATCTACTTATTTTCACGTGAATTAAATTTACTAGAATATGGCATATTCATATTATTCGTAGCGTATTCATCGATTAGATTAAATATCATTTTTAGTTATCGGATTTTATTGATATTTGGGAAAATGTGGAAAAAACATGACACACTTATGTCTAACTACAAGAAAAGCAATATGGTGAAGGAATATAGTTTTTTAGAGGACAAAATTGAGTAATACAGTATAATATCTTTATAGTAATAATAATAATTGTTCACGGATTAGCAAGATCAGTAACATCTGCTTGTGATAGTTCTCGATTATAAATATAGAGTTCATCAATGTAACCCTGATAAGAACTCGTTACAAAAGTAAAAGAACAACCATAGCCATAACCTATGAAAAGATATGCGAATGTACTGCTCGACCAATATGAAAAACTGCCAGTTGCACCAAACAGAACTCCATTAACATACAATGTGTATCCATTTGTTTGACTGTATGTCAATGAAATGTGTGTCCAAGTATTTTGTGTTATAAATGGACCAGTCAAATATGATCCATAGGTATTGAAGTTGTGTACAATGATCTGTCCCGCTGATCCGACGGTTGAGTAAATACCAAGCAAAGTCTCACACGTTGAAGATATAGTTGATAAAAACATCTGGATAATTGCCATACTACTGACTGATGATGGATTTATCCATAAAGCAATTGAAAATGGTTTGCTATTAGCAACGCCATATGAAATCTGATAGAGACCGTAAACTCGGAAAAACGATGATGATGATCCAAGGAAATGAATTGCCTCATTGACACGTCCAGTAGCTGTAACTGCATTACTCGATGTTGCATTTAATCCATTTGGACCATTGTCAACAGTTGGATTTGGTAAATCAAATGAATAATAAGCCATTAAAGATGCATCACGTAAAATTTCTATTGAAGATTTTGCTCTTGTTGTTAATGCTACATTATCAATATAACCTTGAAAAAAGTTCATTGTCGAATAAACTTGAGTTGAACCAATTTGGATACTTCCATTTTTTCCTTGATAAGCCTGTGCATTTGATTTGATAGCATCTTGAATTTTATTGACATATAATATTTGCTGTCGTGTTTGATAATTACAAACAAAAGCTATATGATACCAATTAGAAGTTGATAAAGTCGTCGAACCAGATAAATAATTCGATGTGAAATCAATGTACAAGCGATAATTTCGAATAATTAAATATAAACATTGATTTTCACAGATTGAGCATTGACATTGACCAAATATTCCACGATCACCGGTAAACGACGTAGGATAAATCCAAGCTTCAATGGTAAAACTTGTATAACTTAAATCAAATAATGAACTCGAAATCATAAATGATTGATTCGATGCTGAATTAAAGATAAGTGCTTGACCATTTCCTACATAAGGCAAATTAGTTGCAGTCGCAGTAGTATATAGTGGATTATTTATTAGTTGACCAACATAAACTCCATATGAATCTGCTATCGTATTATCAAAAGTCCAATATGCAGAAACAATTACTGAAGATACAGTAGTTGTTGTACTTGCTGATTCTATAAAAAATAATTCGAATTGATCAATCAATTATTGAATAAATTAGCCATTAGAATAAGTTTACTATTTTTCTATTTATTTATATAGTACCCTTGAAATACTAAAAATTATAGAAGAATTTTTATTTTATAAATAATTACAGACAATTACGATAGAGTTCAATATTTCAAAGGAGTTTAATACTATTAATGCGGTGCGAAGCACAAATCTCGAGTGTCAGAAAAAGGGTAATTCGTAAAAGACGAATAATCAATTTTTCGATTCAGAAGAAAATGCTTCGTTCCTAACGATATTCACATCTCACTCGAATCAACATTTTTTTTCTGCCCGTGTGAATCGTGAATGATGCTTCGATCGATCAGCTGATAAAAGTCGAAACAAATTATTTGAATGGGAGACATTGCAAAATCCATCGCTACGAGGGTTCTATCAAAAGCTATCAACATATTTCTAACGAATCATATCGATTGATCGTTTAATTATCTACATGAGTCATTATCTATGATCGGCAGTATTCATAGCTGTTTCACACTTGCGCTAAGATAGTGGGATCTATCTTTTGTTGTTTTAATCATCTCGAAATGAATAAAGTACTAAGCTCCGTTAAATTTGTCTTTTTTTGACGGTATTTTCTGCAGAACGGAATATCGTACAAGGATTGTTGATGAAAAAAGTAGTCGTTCGACCTCGATATTTTGGCTTCGCGTTTGAACGGGTGCTTTCTCAGTTTCCGTTCTCAAGATTATCAGGTCACAAAATGACAAGTTTTGATGCGTACGTCGAGATACAAGGAAAAAACTAGATGACATCTTGACTTTGTGGAGAATGCGAAATAAGGTGCGAAGCATTGCAGAGTCAAACTCGAATGGTGTCTGTCTTGAAGTTGTCTCTGTTTCAGCGAAAGCAGAGGTTTCTGTCGATCGTTATAACTGGAGAAAGTTGCATTTCCATTAATCAGCTGCTTAAAATCTGACATAAGCTGAAAAATAGTCATTGTAGAATTCATCACTGCGAGAACTCTATGAAAGTCTTTCAACATTCTTCTAAAGAGCATCATCGATTGATCTTTTAATTATCAACATGATTCATTATCTGTCATCAGCTACACACACAGATGTTTTATACATCAGTAAAGCGAATGGCACCTAGCATTTCTCGTTTTAACTATCTTAAAAGAACAAAATTTCTAACCCTGAGTAATTTCACTTTTTCGGATTCTATTCGTAATTTAGCTCAATGTCTTAAAGAACATTTCTTAAGAGAGCGTTCGAGTTTGATCTTGATATTTTCACTTCTTACTTCAACGATTATTCTCTAACTTTCACTTTCTAGAGATAATTACGACACAAAACGACGAATTTGTATGCGTACGTCTTTATAGAAAGAAAGAAAGAAAACTCACGACGGACTACATAAATGCTGTGCTTTACAATTTTTGGTGCCTAAGTCGAGAAAGAACGACAGGATAAAATAATTTTTCTTATAAGCGTTAATTTCAATCAATCTTAAAGACCATTCAAATATTAAAACCATGATATTCAATCAACCAACAAATGAAATCTTTACTTGTTCTAACCAGTCTTCTGCACACTTAGTTTATCGAATAATGTATAATGTCAATAATTGATACAGGTGATGAACTAAGTTTAATTGAAAAAAAAACATCCACTCCTGAATATCAACCATTCAATGTGATCTTAATATGGAAATATTAGTATGAAAATATATTTTTTTGTAAAAATGACAGTAATAGCGTTTGTCGAACTACTAGTAATTAGAGAATTCGCTCTTATCTTTCTAAGTAGTATTGAATCGCTTGAATAATCCTTATTCCACAAAAATAGCTTCCATCGAAATACATGAAGAATAATAGAGATCTTCATAGTATGCAACAATCATAAAAACTCTTACACTCAAACACTTATATTTAATGTCAAAAGGATTTTACGATAGATTTATATCTATGGTTTCACTAATAATTTAAAATCGAAAAAAGTGAATTTTTATTGAAACATCATCTAGACCACACCACACTGCATTTTGTATGGCATTCATTACAATAAGTAAATCTGATAAATTCATTGATTCCTGTGTCATTTTTGTAGCAAGATGCAGCTCTTCGTTGTTTGTTTTACTTAATGAGATATGTATGATTAAACTAATTAATGATGAATCATCAACTGATACTGAAAGACAATTGAGTCAAATCCGTCATATGACTATGTGAATAATGACATGTGAAGATTGTTATGCGAGTATTAAATGAAAATTTCTCAACGATTTAACAATATATTAGGATGTATAGGTCGATTAATGTTCAAGATGTTTATTTGAAAGCAAAACAAATGTTCTAGCCTTATTAACACATTTTTCATTCACTTCTTTTTAGTTAGAGTTCACTGATAATTTTTTGTAGCTTTGTGATAAATCATGCACTACACCAAAAGGAATTCTATACGAAAAAAGATAGATGGGAAAAACTTTCGCCCAAGGATACATTTCTACAGATTATATTTTTAATAAAAAAGATTATTCTATATAGTGAAAAAGTTTTTTTTTTGTCAAGTGGAATACCAATAAAAAAAACCCTTGTAATGACCTGCTTATTCATTATTAGGTAACTTCTTTTATTTCACTAATAACATAAAAATTATAGTTGTTTTACATTTGGAAAATAAGCTTGATGTTCCAATATTTTGATTTTATCAAGGATACGTAAATCACTCAATTTCGAACAATTCATTCGTGTTGTTACTCTTGAGAAATTGTGTGTTGCCTTTCGTAAAGGATGATAATGGACAAAAAGAGAAATATTATTCGATATAGACGTTTTTGTATCATCGAGAAATTGTTCAACATAGTCATCATGAGCCGAAGGAAAAATGAGTTTGGTAAGATAAGGATATTTAATAATTGAGAAATGTTGATTATTGTAATTTAATATTTGACAATTTTTATATTTTTGAGCTTTCCAATTATTTACAGATAAGGTTTTAAGAAATGGAAATGATTGAGCAAGTTTAAGAAAGAACTCATGTTCAAAAGGATGTTCATCAAATAATGATACTTCACGAACACATTTGAATAAACCACCTGAAAAACTATTTGTAATACTTCTATAATGTTGCATTGTATATGGATATGAATAAATATGGCATTGGCCAGTGTCATTCCTTCGAAAATAATCAACGCAAGAAATAACTTTCATATTCGTGAAATTTGTAAATGTACGAGAAATTTCTTCATTTGACGGTAAAGAAGGTTTATTGTGAAGATACAAAACTGATCGAATATTAAACATAAATTTGTGTAATCGTGATAGAGGATTAATAATATTCTTCGTTAAACTATTTCCATCAATAAATATTTCATTACTTTTAAGAACAATATATAAAGCGAGTTCTTCAAGATTTAACATTCGATGTAAAAGTGGCACAATTAAGTCCGCAAACTAACAAATTAATATATTGATTTTGTTTAGAAAATAACTTACTTTATTATTGATAATTGTCAGTGGAATATCAATTAAATTAATATTAACACAGAAGGTACGAAGTTGATTGAAACGATCATCAAGTAGATAAAGACAATCATCGAATTCTCGCAAATTAACATACAATTCGGTTAATGTTGAAGAGAAAATGTTCGGAGGTTTTCCAGCGCATGATAAATATTCACTCGAGAGTTTTGTAAATGAATGGAAATTTAAATAATGTAACTTGGTGAAAACATTAACGATATTGATAAATAAACTTGCTATTGTATCTCTCAATGATGATATGTTTTTATTGTTGCCCACTGTAATAACCAATTTAGATATCTGACTACGATAGCTAGAAGTTAAATCAGTTTCATCTAAATATACATATTATATATCCCTAAGAATATATTTCATCTTTTTTATTTTCAATTAAGTTTTATATTTTTTATGATAGCAATAATTATTATTAGAATTTATCTTACCAATGAACAAACGTTTAAATGATTCTTCTTCAATGTTGTACAAATCAAGTTGATATAAATTGGGATAATCAACGGCACGAAAAATACATTCCATTGATAATGATTCAAGTTTTAGCCATTTGACTTCATAATAAATTTCAGGTAGGATTTCTGAACAAAGTTGATCAATTATTGTATCGGATAATGAATAAACAATATCGTCAGATGACCATATCAGCAATGTTAAACAATTAGTAGAAACAAAATCATGCACAATATTATTGAATCGCATATTAACGCCTGTTAAAAAATAGAGTATATCAATACTGTTCAATTTGTTGAAAATAGTGAGAAGTATTTCATCGGGTAGATCAACCAATTGAACAGATGACTGTCTCATATTCGTATTCAATTATGAATAATTCTTCTCGCATATGTCAATAACTATGCATATATAAATACTTATTAGACAATGATGGACAACGCCGATGAACACAATAATATGATCCTTTGTTTTATGTTATAAATGAACGACGAATCAACGAATAACCAACCTTTCATATTTATTTGTTTCATATTGAATTGACAATTCTCATAGGATGAAAGCAGACTATACGATCAATATACTAATATAGTTGGAGTGTTTATTGCTCATGTCTATGTAATATACATTTTTTCTCAATTTCAATCGATCACTTGAAATTCTTCTAATTATGTGATGATTATTTCGTACAAGAATTGTTATTTCACCAATCTTACCAATAATTGTCGATGAATCCATATTTTGAACTATTCAAAGCCAATGATACGGGCAGTGAGAGAAAGCTATTTCCCATACTTAACAAAGAACCATTCGTGCTATCATTTTCGTCATTGTTTCTCAATGTTCTTCTATTACATTACGTTGAATTTTGTTAAATTACTATTTAAACAAAAGAATATGAACAAACAACAATGGCTTGTTTATAATTAGATTGATAGTCACATTTTAATATATTTTCTATTTGGAATGTGTTTTTGATTGATGACTACTATAAGTAAATGATTATATTTTTTGGATCGAACGTGCCTTAAACATTGACTAGTGTGATTGACAAAGAAATCAATTAATGAGTAGGAGGATATAAAAACATGCGTGATCAAGTTTGACGTTGGTTTGGAAGATACTTACTACAAGTACTATAATGAAAGAACAACAAAAGATAAAATTAAAATTTATTCGTTATATTTTTTGTTTCTTCGTTTTTCTCTTTGAATTCCTTACTCTAAATACGGTTGGCTGTTCAACTTCTATCCTCTTATTGATAATATACCACTTCTCAATCTAAATTCTAGAAGACTCACATTTAATCCAGTAATTGAGAAAATGAAGTCCTGATGGCGTACCTTTAGCTGATTTTATTTGGGGACGCCAGCTAAACGAAATACCGTCCTTACTTAGCAGAATCTGTCCAGCCTGATTGCACAAAAAGAATTGAATCTTAGATTGAAAATGAGACAAATCTGGCTGATAATATAGACTTTTATAAAGAAAAATATCATCATATGATATTATAAAGGAACTTTGACTTGAGTTTGATTCGTGCCGATAAATGAATAATAATTTTGATATTGCAATTAAATGCCATAAGTTTTTTTTTAAATAAAGAAAGACAATGCAATTGAACTGGTATTCAGCTATATATTAGCACTGATTTCAACAACAAAAATGTTTAAAATCACTTGTGTCTTATCTTAAACACATTATCATTTTGATCATGTACGATACAAATCAGAGATGGAACCGGTACCGGTTACCGGCCGGTCCGGTCCGGTCCGGTCCGGTCCGGTACCGGTACGGATTTCAGACCGGCCGGTCTACCGGTAGCCCGGCCGGGCGCCGCTAGACCCGTCGCTAACCGGGANTTTTTTTTCTTTTTTTAATATAAAACAAATTGTTTTTTCTTTTGATTTCTCTTATTCATTCTCTTCTTAATTCAATTCAATATAAACAAAAGCTAGATGAAACTCTTCGACTAGGGATACACATACAATCAATTTCTCTCTTTATTTTTCTGATTACTTGACGAGTTCCGAACATAAATTCATGTATTTTTCGTTTTGCTTTGTTTTATTTGTTTAATTATGCCTTGCAGTGTGTGTAGGCAACGTTTTTTTTTGCCACTAGTGGAAAACTATGTCTCTATCAACATGGCGACAATGTTATTCTTTTTTCCTCCGAATTATTTAGATCGTTTTAACGAACTTTCCGTGACCTTGAAAGAATAAAAATATTGTGCACATATTTTTTGATTATTTTTTCTTTGACCTTATGGTATACTTTTAATAAAATTCAGATAATTATTTTAATTAGATTATATGCGTCGTACTGCGCATGAGCTCTGGATTACTATTCTTTTATAATAACATATTGAATGGATTTTTTTCATTATCAATTTGACATTTTTGGCTTTTTTTTATTATATGAACATAATCAATTTTGAACTGCATATGGACACGTCTGCCTTTACATTTTGATGAGAAATCGGAAGAAAAAAAATGCATTCAGACAAATTTATTGAAAGACAACTAAAACAACTTTTTTTCTTAATAGAAGATGCTGTCAAATATCTTAATATTAAGGTAAAATAAAAATAATCTTCAAAGCCTAACCTAAGAATATGCTCTACAACCTTTTCTTTTCATGAAAAAATCGAAAAATGACTAATTTTTTTGTTTTATACATATTTGAAAATCAATTAAGATCCTTGAATTATTTGAATGCAATTGTTGTTGATTAATTTATCTTCGAATTGAACATTTTGAAATCGATCTTAATTTCTGTACTATTTCGACATAACAAATATTTGCTTTCATTTTGAATTTATTCATATGAAAATAATCTGGCTTTATTGCTTTCAAATTTAAAATGGATTTGATGATGATGATGATAAAATAAATATATCAAAGTTACATTTTGTGATAATGGAGTTCGATCTAATATAATAATATGTTGATTGATATCATTATTATTCATTGTTTTTCGGACATAGAGTGAATGGAAATTTAACTAAAATCTTATGTGTTTCAACTATATGATGAAGAAAATATATTTCTCGATTATTTTCAAATGTATAATTATTTTTATTTATTAAATTGCTAATGAACTCAAAATAAACAAATGAACAACTTAAGAGGGAAAAACATGTTTGAATAAAACAATAAAAAGTTTACGAGGGAACATTCCCAAGTGATACGCATCATTCGGGCTTATATTTTGCTCATAAATAGGATCCAGTGAGACTAGAAAAACCCTAAAAGATTTCGTTCCATTACGCGTTTCTTTCAGAGTTATGACTGTTTTACTGAATTTTCGACCTTGGGCAAGGAATCTATAGAAAAAATGAATGAAGGAATTTCAGGCTGAAATATTGCCTAAGAATAGATCTCATCGATCTTAGATGATCGTAAAGGTTTCAGTTAAAACGGATGCTTCCTTCTCGAGATGTTGTACATTGAAGAGAAGTCAATTTTACGACAAGCTTTGGAAAATGGCTGTTTTCTTCAATGTGCAACATCTCGAGAAGGAAGTATCCGTTTTAACTAAAAGTTTTACGATCATCTAACATCGATGAGATCTATTGTTAGGCAAAGTTTCAGCCCGACATTTCTCATTCATTTTTTCTATAGATTCCTTGCCTAAGGTCGAAAATTCACTACAACGGTCATAACTCTAAAAGAAAGACCTAATGACACGAAATCTTTTAGGTCTTTTCTAATCTCAATGGATTCCATTTATGAGCAAAATAAAAAGTTTAACAATAGATTTCTGTAACAAGAATTTCATACAATATTTCTATAACCTGCAAAGAAAAGCAATATACTATAACGAAAAGTTGATTATAATATTATAGTAAAGAAATAAATGATAATTGTGCAGTTTAATATAATCCTTGAGAAATAGGAAGTTTCAATCTTTTTTTCAATTTAGTACGGTTATCACCAACTTTTAAAGATATTACATTTGACCTACAGTTTTTATTCTTGTCAAAACAAATAATAACAAATAGAAATCGAACAAACACAACATAAACTAATTCATAATAATATACCTCGATCCACATTATCTTGAATAATATATAAATGAATATCTTTAGATAAAAATGAAATATTCAAGTATATAGTTTTTCAATAACAATAACAAATAATTTTGAAAGAAAAAAATTTGAATAAAAATAATACAATGATAAAGAAATGAATTATAATTATGCAGTTAAATTTTTTTTTAGAAATAGAGATTTACGACCTTGTTTTAGTCAGTGAAGTCATGATCAGCTTTTCAAAACATTACTTATGAGCTTGACTTAACTTTTTATTGCAAAACAAACATTAACAGCAAGAAATTGATATTAATAAAACAAAAATCAATTTTAATCTATAACATAAATATGAACATGTATCAATGGGCATAAAAAAAGTTAGAAATTCCTATTTGTAAAATTGAATTAAACTACATTAAAATGATTTATTTGTTTACTATTATGTTGTTCTTATTTAATTTTTTCTTTCGAAAATCTACTTGCTATTGTTATTGGAAAACTATATACTTGAATATTTCATTTTCATCTAAAGACATTCATTTATATCTTAGTTAAGATTATGTACATCGAGGCATATGCTTATGAATTAATTTATTTTGTGCTTGTTCGTTTTCTATTTGTTATTGTTTTTTTTTGAAGCAAATAGAAACTTCAGATTACAAGTGATGTCTTAAAATGGTGATGATGACCGTACTAAATTATAAAAATATTGAAAATTTCTATTTGTAAAAAATGATATTAAATTGCAAAATTATGATTTATTTCTTTATTATAATATTGTTATTATTGAAGTTTGTTTCTTTAAAAATTGTTTTCAATAATAAACTAAGTAATTGATGATTAATATATAAACTAATATATTCTATAGTCTTTCTTTGGCATAAATTGTCAAGATAATTTTTAGTAAAATATTGAGCTATTTTTTTCATGTTTATTATTTTAGAAATTGAATCATGGAAAATATCAATTTATATATTATATTAATTTGTCTACCAAGAATAAAGAGTAGTTTTTGTTAATTAATGTTTATATGTATAGGAAGAAAACCTTTATTTCTTTTTCTTCTTTTCATTTGCATTTGTAGCTATTAGTGATAAATATGTTTCTTATGAAGGTGTTTAATCAACAGAACTACCGAATATGTCAAAGAGTAAAAATGTCATTCGCGTGTAAAGTGGATGTAATTAAATATTAACAATTCGAATAGTATGATGTATTTGTTAATTGTCACATGATTATTTTCAGATTGTTTATCTCTGATCAAATATAAGATTTCTCTCAAAAGCATTTACCAACATCAATCAGAAACAAAAATTAAGTTAGTAAACAAGGAGTCAATGATGACATATTTTATGAAACATGATCTAAAAAAAATATTAAGGTATAAAACAAGATTTGTGACTTTCTCAGACGATGATAGACACAGTAATGAAATAAAAATTGATCAGGAAAATAAATCGAAGTATTGTTGACTTCTAAAATTTATATACTCACTGAAATATATTGAGTTTAACATATTCTTTTACCCCATATGCATACGCATAGTTTCTAATAATTCATAATTTCTTGTTTATACTTGTTTATGATAAAAATAGTTAATGATATTGAAAATGTGATTATCACTGTTCTGCTCATAGACTTCAGCATTAAATTTCTCAACTATAATCTGAATTGGCAGATATATACTAAAGCTATGAGTCGAGACTATGCCTATCATGTTGATTCGAATGAGTTATGAATACTCTAAAAAAAGAACTCAGATCTTTAGCTTATTGCGATGGAGATTCAATTCTAAATGAATACCGTGCCTTATTTCAAAAATACAGGGAAAACTGCTATTCGAATTTCGAGTTGAAACTTTATAATGATATAGGCTGTAATGAGAAATAGTTTATTGTCAAAAGATCTGAAACATACAGAAGAAACAACGCTCGTTAAAGTCTGTGTTTGTACAAAGTTTCAAGTCAAAACTCGAAAATTTGTTTTCCTGATGTTTCTAAGAGAAACCTTGCTATTCACTTAAAAACTCTTATTATAGTACAGTAATTTAGCAGTCACTTTGAGAACTTTCCTAGTCAGTTCTCAAGTGTCAGAAAAGTTTCTTAAATTTCATATAGTTAATATTAGAAATAAAAAAGACTAAATTTAACAAAAGCAAAGTCTTGCAAAATTGTATTGATCTATAAAAATCAGTAATGAAGAATAACACAATGTTATTTTACTAAAACACAGTCTAATGTACTTTGCATACTCTTGTTCAGATATATTTTCCATTGGAAATAATGGTTTATTAGAAATGATGAAATTAATTGTTTGATAATAAAAAGAAAAAGATCTTTAATTATGTTTTACAGAAAAAATGCATTGTGGTAAATGAATATCATCACTTAATTGACTTTCATCAATTTTTGGCCAATGTTTTTGTTTAACACCTTCACCATATTTAATAAAATTTTGTGATGAAAGTATATATTGAAAATCATGTCCAATACTATATGAACTTGATGGACTTTTTCTTGAAATAGTTACAATTATTTGTCTATAATTTGGTGGTATAATATCAAATAATTCTCGTTGAGAATCTTTTCTTGATATCAAAGTATTTTGTGATAGAGTACAACGAAAATGAAAATGAACATATTTTGATGGATGACGATTTTCAACAAGTAATATAAGACCATCCCAATATTTTTTTAATTCATATATTGTAACACCATCAGATTGATTATCATCATTATCCAAATTTTTTGATGTACGTACTGGTTCACCATGAAATATACAAAGTTTTATTAAAAATTCACGTTCAATTCGTAGAGGAAATTTTACACGTTGAATATCTATTACATGAGAACTATGAAGAGCTAAACAAATAAAAACAATATTTTTTTTTTGTTAATTATTTTGTTAAATTACTATGCATATTAAACTGAAAGAGTCATTACAAGTTTTCAACTATACAACTTTTAAAAGTTTACAACTTGTAACAAAGCTTTGAGTTCTACATGAATGACTAGATGTGGGTATCACAAAATACGAACATATGCCGAAACATAGATACAAAATATTCCATGATGTTGAAATCTGCAGTTCTTCTACTTGATTTTGTTTGTATCTTAGATTTCAGTCGAAATCGTGTCCACGTTTCATTGTGAACGTGCTCAAGTATCCTGTTCTAATAGCCACATGGGTTGTTTTCGCTTAGTTTTTGAATTTTGAATATTTATTAAAGATGGGGTCACAAAAATAGGCATCATATATAGAAGATTTAAACAAGAGGAAGAAAATGTAGTGTCATCTAATATCATATACTATGGTATATTGAAATCGATCTCTACAAGACTGAAACTATTAATTTAACAGACAAATTATTAAACAAAAATATTAAATCGTTTGAATTGTCGATTTTCATGAAAATTAACGACATGAGATCCTACAGAATGTGAATACACCGAAAAAACAGAAAAAAATGGATTAGCCTATTTAGTATGTTGATGATACATGCATCGACATACATATATCATTCTTCTAATATGCTGGAGATATAGAGATACTGACCGACATAGAAGAGATAGAAAAATTATAGTCATAAGATCAAAGCCCCGATATCTCTCTTATATTGACTTATGTAATACACGGAAATACGACTATTTATGGTTGTTTACGATCGTACTTTTTTCGACCAGGATATGAAGGTAGGAGTGAAAATGTTAAAGTCACATGACATAATATGAAGGTCAAAATCTTCAAATGATAGGTATAGTTGAAAATTCGTAACGTATTAATGATTCTATACTATTGTAAATTACTCACCAATAGTAAACTCAGTATTATCCAAATATTTATTAATTTGATTAAATAAAAATGGTAAAATAACATAAGTTCCTGGTTGAAGAAAACCATCAGTTGAAACAAGTTTATGTTGACCACGTCGACTTACAATTGGTATTGAATAAATACGATAATTTCCATTGGGTTTTTCTTCCATATTTATAACAGTAACACAAAGACTAACATCACTTCGTTGAATACGAAGATTTTTACTTATTTTTCTATGAAGTGTTATATCAAGTTCAGTTGCACGTGATATCGTTAAATAATAAGCTAAATTAAAATAAATAAATATGAAATTTTTTGTTTTTTGTTTTTCTTTATTTATATTTGAAAACGAACCTTGCATCATTTTAGGAGATGGATAAAAATTAGCTGAATCTCTAACTTCATACCAATTATTTCTTAATTTACAAATATCAACACATTCAAAATATTTAACAAATGATGTAAATGGCATCCAAAAAACTCCATCACGTTTATTTCGTTTGTGATTAAGTAATTCAACATGTAAATCTGGATTTTCCGACCATAAATGAGAATCATCTGACCAATCACCTTCAATAAATTAATATTATTAAATATACAATAAAAAATAATATGATTAAAAATGTATATAATACTTTGAATAAGGTAGAAGAATATATTATTTCAAAAATAAAAACAAGACAAATGTACTGTAGAGATACGACAGTTTACATTAAAACATAATCACAATACCGAAAAAAATTAATATTTAACCGTGAAATCAATTGAATACTAGTGTTAAACAATTTAAGAATCTGATTCCTATTTATATGATACCTTAAAATAGTTTCGAATTCGTAGTACTTTCTCAGAACTATTTCACATTTTGTTTTTCATGTTTTTGTTCGACTCATAGGAGAAAATTTATGTTTCTGAATGACCTTACGATAAAACCAAACATAATTTTTGAAATGAGAATCATCTTGAAAGATTAAGAAAACTTTAAAATGAAAAAGACAATGGTTCTACATTAAATTTGCCTTTGATATACTGTTGTAATACAATATCGTTGAGACTTGATTGTATTTTTTTTCGAAAAAAACAAACTGTCTATTTCAAAGAAAAATTTACAAAAGAATTCGATCGGAAACTTTTTTCGACTTTAGATAATAGCTTCAACTAATAGAAAGGATATTCTTTTTATTCTTCTTTTTCGAGCTTTAAAATCTAAGGACTAGACACTATTTTTTTCGTACCAAAAAAAAAATGAATATTCGACGTGTTTTATAACGATCGATAAATTACATTTTTAATGTAATTTATCGTATCATCAATAATTGAAATAGAACAACTGAATTTTTGTTCGAAAGAGAATCTTTTAGAATTTATATTCTTTATATAAAAAAGAAAACCAATCGAATTTTCTACAAAACGATATTATTTAGAATATGAAAAAGCTTCTCTGTGAGATATTCAGACAAAATTTTGTTTTTCATGTTATAATCGTTGAATTAAATTTTTAATAAAACTATCTGTTGTTCAGTCTCTCGTATCATAGATTGATTATTTTAATATTATGCGAAAGGTTTCGTTGTAATGAATAGGTTATATATATATATATATAATGTGCTGGAAAAGATTAAAAGCGAATGATGAAAAAAAATCAAACAAATCTAGTTGGATCAAAGAACTTTCTGAGATATTTTCTCCTAAGAACTTCGTGGCCTTTGAACAACATTTCCTATAAATCTTTTTCAATATCTTTCTGCAATTGACATTGTAATTTTTCTAGTTTCTGCAAGATTATATCGTAGTTCTATAGTAAAGACAAAATAAATGTAAAACTATTCCTTCAACCTTCAAGATTTTTAGAAACGAATAAGATTTTATGAGAGTTGTATTTTAATATTTCATTTAATTTCTTCATAAACCATGATTTGTTGTATGTTTTCGTATGATTCTCAAATGATGAATCACTTAGTCTTAAACTATCTGGTCATTTGATTGTTTTATATACTTTAGTATCTCAAGATTTATTTTCGTAGATGATTTGTTGTGTATGACATTGTCATTTTTTATCTTAAAAATAGAAAATTCCTATTTCAAAATGGCTAAACTTAAAACAAGATAATATAAATTTTGTCAAAGATTAGCAATGAAATTATTTGAGAATTTGAAATAACTTCGTCTTATTTCTTCAAATCGAGAATAACTATAGATTAATAAAAGTCTAATCGCAATCATTCATTCAATATCCATCAGTTCAAATTTAATTAGAAAAATGAGTTTTAAAGCCATAGCATTGAATCAAGATGAATTATAGCTACAACATGAAGATTTACTATAATAAGATTTTGACTGTATGTCATATACTTTGATGATTATAAAGTAGATATATGGGATTAACTTTACCGTTAGAAAAAAAAAACAGTAGTAACTTATAGAATAAGATGTGTGAATCATAATTCGATTACAAGTGAATCGATGGAGGATAAATTGGCGCCTATGAACAATTTTTACTGTATTATGTAGAATGAAAATATGAGTTCAATAATAACAAATAATTGTCGAATAATTTCATGATAGTTGATCTAGTTTTAAAATGAAAATCTTACCAGTCCATCTAAATGTCCCACCCCATGGATTTCTTAATTTAACTAATCTATGTTTTCCATCTTTTGATTGTTTAAGATCTTGTAATGAATAAGCATGAATATTAAGTAAACCAAATTTTTCATATTCTTCTTTATTAATAAGATTATTACAACACATAGCACACATTAAAAATCTTTGAGAACGTGCATTTAATAATTTTGACCATAATCTATCATAATCAACATTTTTATCATCAGGATTATTAGAACGACCAAGAATTAATGTTTCACATGGACTTCCTGTTACTGTAGCTAAACCTAATTAAAAATAAAAACAAATTCATTAAAATTAAATAGAAATAAATAAATAATAAAAAACCTTCACAACATCGACCAGCAATAATTGCTTCATAACTTCCATTTAATTTTGCTAAAGCTTTTTCAATTAATGGAACCTAAAATTGATGTTTTTTTTTTAATATTTATTTTTATTTCGAATAAACAAAAAAAAACAAAGCATTGTTTTGTTTTTTTTACCCAAAGTTGTTTTCGATGTGCTTGAGAATAAGCTAATTTTTTATTTGATGTACATGGAAGACGATCATCAACAAGAACTTGAGTCCATTCACCATCTAAAATTTAAAAATAAAATTAATTTATTATTAATCAAACGAAAAATTTTTCTTTTACCTTTACATAAACGTACACAATAAATACCTTCAGAATTATATTGTTTAGAAATAAGTACCTAATTTTTTTTTTCAAAATGAAAAAAAAAAAAAACAAAAAGAAAATAATTATTCTTGATATAAAAGAAAAATTTTACTCTCATTAAATATTCAGGTTCTTCAGCAAGAACACTTAATGCTGTTATAAACCAACAATCACCTAAAGCTCCTTGAAGTACATCATTTGGTTTTGGATCTCGAAAAACAGCCCATTGTGTTCGAACATTATCAGACCATTCTTGTGGAATTATTTGATCAGGTCTTAACCATTGAATAGGACTAGTTGATGATGATGATGATGATGATGATGATGCATTTAAATTGATTTGTTCTGGATTAGGTAAAAGAGATAATGTAAGTTTTGAAAAAGAATTTCCATTAATATAAAGTGAATGAGGTGAGGCTGGAANTCGATGCAGTTTATGATGCTCTTTCTGGTGATACCTTGAAAACTCAAATTAGTTGGAAACTAAATTAAAATATCGCAATTTATCAAATATTTCCGGTATCGTCCTAGTATGCTCTGAAAACACCCGAGTGTGACACTTTTCCATAAAGGAGGTATAATAAAAAGTAGTTCATCGTGTAGAGAAAGCTTTCTTCTTTCAAATGGTCTGTTAAAAAGAAAATTATAACTTGAAATGCATAGGGAGAGAATCATAACAACAAGTGGTTGATCAATTTTGAAACGGTGAAAAATGACAGGCTTTTATCATTTCTTAAATAAAAACTGAACAGACTGAAATTTTGATCTGCGATTTGGTGTATGAATGCGAGATACTATGGGCTAAGTTAAGATGAAAACCAGACCATTCTAGCTTATTTATCTTTTGAGATATGAATAAAACAAAAAAATTCAATCAGATGGTTGATCAATTTTGGTACCCACTGTATATATATATGCATAATAAAAAAAAAGCAATACTCAACTCATACTTAAAATGAATCAAACTAATGTTGGCCTTCTTCATTTACCTAATGAAATATTACTTATCATTTTAAAAAAGCTCAACAATGTGGATTTTCTTTATTCATTGTTGGATGTTGATAGTCGATGACTTGACTTTATAGTGCAAGAAAACATTTTTACCAATTCTCTAAATTTTGTGTTAAAAACATCAAATGATGATATTTGTTCGATTCCTGATACAATAATTGATCGATTTTGTACAAATATTTTGCCAAGAATTCATCCCAATGTCAAATCTCTTATTCTTGACTCATTATCTATGGAACGTATTCTTCTTGCTGCAGATTACCTTAATCTAAATGAACTTAAAATCTTTAATTTTTGCGGCAAAATTACTCTACGCCATTTTATAGGTAAATAATTAATGTGTTGATCAAACAAAAGATTAACATAAAACCTATTCAATAGATAGACTAGACAATATTTTTGTTTAGATGAATCAACATTTCAATGTATTTTTCAGTGACAAATCACAGATCTTATTCTTGTATTCGAAAAACCTGTCAATAATATATTAATAAAACAAGCAAAAGAACTGTACGAATATATTTTGAAATTCGAAAATCTTAAACATTTATCTATTATTGGATCAGATTCCTTTTGTTTTCCACCTGTGGTAATTAATAATTTACCTTCCTATGTTCGACTCTTAGCAAATTATGCATTTGTGTGGAGAGTTTTGAAGATTGTCTTGCTCTACTTTATGGTCGTCTTAAACAATTAATCACCTTGATTGTTGCTGTTTGTAATATGGAATATCGTTCATCGAAAGTTTACAATATGGTAAGTTTATATTTTACTAATTTAATCTGTTCAAGTTAAACTATTGATAAGAGTAGTCATGTTTTTCATATAAAAATAGATAAATTCTTTTGTTAGTGAATTGCTATTTAAATCAATTGTAATTCAATAGTTATAAGATGAATGATTATCTATTCGATAAGCAAACATCGTTAACTGTAAATCATATTTTATTAATTATTAACTGTTTCCTGCGAGTGAGTTGGTTTGAAGAAATAAATCAAATGATTAGATTTTTAACAAACATACTATTTAGTTTTAAGGAATTTTAGATCGATTGATCACGTCATTTTCTATTAAAAAATGATGGATTTTTATTGTATTGATACAATAACAAACTTCATCGAAGTTATTTGAATAATCTTGCTATCCATTATTTATGGTGTAGAAGTTTAGAAACATAATATAATTATCTTAGTCATCAATGAGGAATAATCTATAAACCATACAGTTTAAATATGTAAAAAGAGATAAAATATATATAGAGCTTCTTAAACAGTTATTCAACTGAACTTTTTTTATTTAATTGATAAGAATATATTTAGAAATATTGATTTTTATTTTCTAGAATGATCTACCTGATTTGAAATGTTTCTCTTTAACAACGCGTTATTGTTTAAGTGAAGAATATGATACTCAGATTGTATCTCTTTTTCATCGTATGCCAAATCTTCAAGAATTAACTTTGTACATAATTATCGTGGATGGAACTGTATTTATCAATGGTGGAGACATTTATAATGAAATTCTTGTTCATATGCCACGACTTCATTTATTTAACTTCTTGATTTCTTCGCACGCTGAAATAGATAATTTAGTTTATCATGCATCGAAAGATGATATTCAACAAACTCTTAGTAATATAAAATATCAAGAAGTGGATTGTATTGTAAACTATGATTACATTTTAGTAGAATGTCATATCTTTTCATTACCGTTCATGTTTGAAGATCTTATCGGTATTGGTAATGCATTTCCAAGTATTATTTTCAGCCATGTTACATTCTTGCAGGTGAATGATAAAGCTCCATTCGAACATGAATTTTTTCAGCAAATTGCTTGGTCTTTTCCTTTTCTTAAACAATTAAATGTTCTGAATATTAATCGACAATCATCAATATTAACCATATTGAACTCAAATGATAATCTATTGTATTCAATTGTTAAATATCTTTATCTTATGTCGCTTTATCTTACGCACGCTCATATTGATAATGTCGAACAATTTCTCAATGAGACAAAAACACGTCTACCTCGTTTAACTACATTAGTAGTCAATTGTAAGGATTTAACAATCATCACTGACAACTTTACAAGAGATGCAATGCGAATTAATTGTATCAATGTAAAAGAATTAAATGTCTTTAGAAAAATAGAACAGTCAAAAGATTTCTGTATTTATTTTCCTTTGTTAAAACCTTGTTCTTGTTCTTGCTAAATTAATAAAATGAACAATGAAAACAATAATAGTATTTTTGCGGTCGAATCACAGTAAGCAAGAATTATTAATTACAAATACCTATTACGTATAAGATAAATGGTCATTGATCTGTGTTTACTCATATTCCCAAGGTATTGTATTTGATTTGATAATAGATGAAAAATGACGAGTTTCAGTTCGAATTATTGTTTTTATCTAAAAATAACATTGTTTATACATTAATATCTGTCGATAAAAGAGTTGTCATGTGGATTTTATCAGATTTTCTTGTTCGCGCTCAGTAAAGCAAATAATTTCTCAATTTAATTTGTTTGAGGAAAAGAAATTGTTTATAATTTTTTGTAAAATATATTTGTATAGAATGCCAAGAAAATTTTATTATCTATTTGAAAGAAAAAAAAAAAACAAATAACTACTAAACGAACCAAAAACAAAAACAAAAGAAAAAAGAGACTTATAGTTAGTGCTGAGAGACAAAAAATGATAATATTCGACATATACATATTATAAAGCTTGAATAACTAAAGTAATATGAATGATCATACAAATATGGATACGTATATTTATACGGAAATTTTCAATATATCCGCACGGATTACTGTTACAAATCTGTGCGAGTAAATTTAAGAAAGAAAAAAAACACATCATCATCCAGTTTGGTTTTTTGATTTTAACAAATAACAAAAAAAAGAGAGATTCAATAATTACGAACGTTAGTCAAAGTAAATTTACAGAATAAATATGATCCTGGCATGTGAACAGTCATTTAGAAAAAAGGAGGATTCAGGTAGATTTTCGAAATATCAATATTTTTTTGGAGAATAGCTTTCGAAAAAGGAGGATATTATTTTTTGCTGTAAGAAGGATATTCTGATGTTTCAAATTCATCAACATGCCTGTATACGACGAAACAGAAGACTCATGTAAACTTTCAACGTCCTATAGTTATTTTACAGAAGTAATACAAGACAGTTGTGTGTGTGTGTCTAGAAATTAATCCTCCCAATCATATAGTTATATCAAAGAGGCCAAAATTTACTTTCAAAACAAACGATATCCACTGGTTGTCGAATCTCTTGTTCGACAAACATTTACACAAAAAAAACCAAGCTCGCACAATGGTTTTGGCTTTTTTTTTATAATCAATTCATTAAGAAGTGTAGATCTCTTCCATATTAAAACCTATATGAATTAGAAATTTACAGGAAAATGTTTTTCTCTAGAATGTGAATAAATGCCTAAAAAAATATTTTTTAACATCGTCTCATGTATAGTTTTTGACAGAAAAGAGTTAACGTAAAATAACTCTTGATGCTTTGTTAAAAAAACATTTTTAACGCATGTCATGATCAAAAAGGAGACACATTTTTTATTAAATTGCTAAATTTTTATGAATTATTACAAGGAAAGGCAACTAAGCTCGACTTTATTTTCAAGTTTTATTTTAAAAGCGTAAGTTACAAATAAAAACATGATTTTGTTAAAAGATGCATCGACTTATGTAAACTGCGCTGCCCCATCAAAAAGAGACTGATGCGTTTTATCAGGAAAATGTTAAAATACATCACAGAGTATAATAAGTAATCTATTACAAAATTCATTGAATTATTAACGGAAGGTTGGCACAAAATAAAAGATTTGAATAGAATTTGAGCTTTAGAAGTCCTTTTTTGTGTCATCGAACAGAATATTACAAAAACGCCTACTTATATTTTGGAGAGTGACTATTACTGCTAACCAGAGATGGGATCGGTTCGTGTTTTTCACAATTTAAATCGAACCGAAAACGAACGAAATTTAAGGTCCCTGAACCGAACCGAAAAAAAGATTTTTTAAATTTCATTACAGCTTACTACCTATCTATCTTTATGTCACCTGATTTGTTTTATTTTAATACGATGATCACTTAAATTTTGCTTCTAGAAGAAAACGCTTGTTATCAAGACACTTCTTTATGATAAAAAATCTCCGAAAAAATGACATTTTATATAAACTAAAAGTGCTTTCAATTACTTAATTGATTCAGAAATTGTGACTTTAATCGATATTGAACGAAATATGCATAGTTTTATACGAGTCTCAGCTTAAAGTTGACTACGAGTGACTTTAAAACAAGCAGAAACAGCTGTTTATTTAAATTTTTTAGCAAGTATAAGTCAAAAATACCGGTTCAATCAAAAAAATCACTCGCTCAAAAATGGTCTGATTTTCAATGTTAGTGTCTTAATGTAACTATTGTCTTGTAATCTAAGTCTGTAGACAATAGTTTTATTATTAGAGGAAAATGATTTGTGCATTTAGAGAACACATCTATCGAAAAATTTACAAAAGATTGATGATTATGATTTATCCTATTGTTTTGATTTTCAAATTTTTGATACATTAATAGTTTTTGATTAAGTCAGTTTTTTTACATTGACAGAAAATCTAAAAACTCAATTATTTATCCTCGACTTTAAAAAAAGAAACTTGATTTCTGTTGTTTTCTTCTTGACTTATGCAGTTATTTATTATGGACTATTTGTTGATTTTATCGTCACACAATGTTTTTTCGTTTGTTTACAGTTTGTGTATCTCCGTTTACGAAAGACAAAAACATATGTTAATACTTCATCTTTGCTGATTATCACACAATTTTTATCCTCTTTTCTTTTTTTTTTACATATCAAAATAATAACTTAAACTCAGTCATTTGGCTACGAACCGAAACCGAAGAAAATTTAAGAACTTCCTGAGCCGAACCGGGCACATCTCTGCTTCTGACATTATATGAGAGATGTTCATCTCCGATGATTATTCCTTCGAAAAAGCCCTACTATTTTCGACTACTTCTGATGGAACATTGCTTATTTCTCTATTTACTGATCTCTTTCATGAAGCATTTCTTTCTCAACTACTACATATATAAACATACCGTATCGCCATACTCATCTATTAAAAGAAACATCTGCAAAATCTTAAGAACATTCATATTAAGCATCATGAGATACACAAGATTCTCGTCTGATACAAGACTAAGGATTAAATTCATTGCAGAAATAGTTCTCTTCTGAATTCTTTTGTTTAATCTGAGCATGTTCGAATCACGCCAGAAATAAATATAGTGAAGATAGATAACTGTATCAGACAGTTCGTAAAATTTTATCTAAATCAGTGTTGAAGATACTGAATTTCACATCAGAAAGAGAAAAAAGAAGGAAAAGGAGGAGCATTCATCAACCAGATATGATTCGATAAATAATATTAATATATCAATAAATAACGGACGGAGATATTTTCTTGTAAAAAGATTAAATAATGATGTCAAAGAAGAATTTGGAGAAGATTGTCGATGCAATTTAAGTTTTATTTCATTTATTTTTTTCAATTATTTTATTACGTATTAAACGTTCTTGTCGAAGACAAAGTGATGTTTTGTACATCATGTTTATATTAAAAAGCAAAAAATCACTAATATTTATTCTCGAAAAAAAAACGAATAATTTTCATACGATACATTTGTTGGTGACGATAAAGAATGATGAATTGAATCTTCTGATGACACAGATGACTTCGATAATGATATTAAATGTGTTGTTTTAGATGAATGTGGATAATTACTTTCTGTTGAATAAACTCTTTTCATTAAGGTCCCCTCAAAAATTGATCTCAGCCCAGGAACGTTCAAATGGGCTGAAATTTGGAGCATATGTTGGGCTGAAGTGTGGAGGCTCTAGTAAAATTTTCAGCTCGATTTACTGACGTTTGGCAGAGATATGAACCAAATAAGGGTCAAAAATAGCTCATTTTGCTTCCAAGATTTATCGGTCCGGGCTCTGTCAACATATTTAATTTTTTTTTTGTTTGAAAAAGCATCTCAGGATGCAGCACACCTCAAAGTCCTTTTCTTTAAATTCTTGCTTTTTTAGCGAAAAAAAGGGGTCACAAGTTGAATGACTCGAAAAACGAGCCAAAAATGGGTGCCTATGTCTGTATACATAATAAAAAACAAAACTTAATTAAAAAAAGGACTCTGTGGTGCCCTGCATCTCGATGCGCTCTTGAAGAACAAAAAAAAATTTAAATATATTGACAGAGCCTGGACCGAGAGATCTTGGAAGCAAAGTCGAAAAATCATAAACCGAGAAAAATCGAAAAACATTTTTCGTTTTTTTAAAAATAAGTACATTTTTCAAATAGCGGTTAAGAAAAATCATCGAAAATTTTGACCAAAAATGAGTGCCGAAGAAAAAAACAATAGGGTTTGTGAAAGAACAGAAGACGAGCTACCTTTCCATGCGTTTATCTCAATTTCGACGATTTTGGCGAAAAGAGACTTTTTTTGAGGAGGGAAGGGAGCTTAAACAAAGAGTTCTTTCTTCTTTTTTACCATTTGTTTATTATCTTTAATATTTAAACCTGTTTTTTGTCTTCATTCTTTAATTAAATTAATATTTTCTTGTATTTTTTCGAATAAATCTCGAATAACTTCTAATAAATTTTGTACTTTGCATACTTTAATAAATTTTTTACATTTAAATATTAATGGATAAAAGTTCACGAAATGTAACATGATGAGCATAATTAACAAGATAAAGCATAACAAGTTCATAAAATTGATCCATTAAACTATCTTAAATAAAGACAAAAAAGAAAGATAATTTTCATAAAAGAAATTGCTTATTGTTATACTTTATATGCTCGATCATCCATTTGTAATTTAGTTAATTTTAATAATGTATTAAAATTAATAAATTGTGTTTTGAGCAAGGGGGAAAAAACAGATTTTGGGACCTAAAATCTTTGGAAATCTCTAGAAATCTTTAGAAATCTTTGGGAATCTTCAAATCTAATTTTTCCCCCTTGTATTTAGCACATGTCTGAAAACGAATTTGAACAAGAGAAGATCGAATATAGTGCTAACTTTCCTTACATGAATAATCTATTTATTTAGTTGATGATGATAGTTTTTCTATTCGAGTGTGGATAAAGAGAAGACCCATACACACATCCAAACC